GACAGACCGCGTCCATCAGGCCTTCAAGGAACGGACTACGATTTTTATCTTATTTTGCATTATGTGAATATTCTAGATTTTGGTCTTTGATTTCGAATTGTTTGATTGCAAAGTATATAATTATTGCCGATATAAAGCTAAAGCCTGAAAAAATATATGAGTCGAGTTTGAGCATATAATAATGAAATACGATTGTATATGAGCTTGAACTTATGTGAGCTCAAGTGAACTCCAGATGAGCTCACATAACCCGATTGTCAGCCTTAGCTAATTGCAATAATAATGAATTTGGCTTTATTGTATTGAAGAAAATTGTAAAAAAAAAAAATAATAATAATAATAATAATAATAATAATAATAAATTAGAGAAAGAGTGTGGCGTTGAGGAAAAACAAATGCAGGTATAGGCAAGGCGCAATGTAGTACGCGCGGGGTATGACAGGGCATCTTTTCAGACTTTTCTGTAATCATCAACTAACGTGCGCTTCCTCTTTTTGGTATCAGCAAAAAACTCTGCAGTTTTTATATGGGCCTCTCCCAATTCCGGAAATTGCCCCTGGTTTTTCGGTAATATTACCTGAAGCTCCTGAACCAACCGTTTGGTTTGGCGCCCTTTTTTTCGGTTTTCCCTCTTTTCATAAGGTAGGGGTAATAGTGTGAATGATAAAAGTTTAAACATTAAATACAAATAAAATATTAATTTTCAATCATTTATATATATATATATATATATATATATATATATATAATATATAATATATATTTTTTTTTTTTATTTTTTTTTTTTCTTACACATAGCTCGAACTTTGCGTTTAGTGAAAATATTTTCATCTCTGACAATTTTAGATAAAAATATAAACCTGTGATTAATTTTAGTTAAATCAAATAAATTTATTACAATATAAGTATATTTATTTATTTTATTTTTTCTTTTATAAATATATATATAAAAAAAAAAAAAGGAGGTGGGGTTGGCTTGTAGGGATGCAAAAGCTGCATATATCACATGGTTGGCAATTAAAGTAGTTTGCAATTGAAAATGAAATGAATGGCAGTCGAATGAATACATGCGAGTTTTTATTTTATTTATTTTAATATTTAATATAGAGAATATATTTAATTGGCATAAAAATAAAATAAAAAAGGGGAAATATGCAATACACCCCTTATTTGGAAAATATTTTGAACTAAACCCAATTGACTTTAAAGACTTTTCCAATAACCCATATCCCAATCTAAATTAGTGAAACCCCCCTTACCATCTATGACAAGACTAAAGTGCCCTTATGTGTTAGAGTTTTAACCTAATACAATTTTATTTCTCTCTCTCCCATTCTCTCGATATTATCTCTCTGTTCTCGCTCTCTCTCTCTTCCATTCTATCGTTCATCTCACGTTCTTTTTTTTTTTTTTTTTCTTTTTCCTTCTTCTACAGACCTGTAAACCGCCGCCGTCGGAGTCAACAATATCCGTCGCCGCCTCCGTCGGATTTCTACATAGAGATTTCCCTTCTCTCGACGCTAAATACCAATTTATACTATATTAATTGGTAAATTTTATTTTTTTATTTTTCTCGAATTAATTGTCGAACTAGCAATATAATATGTAGCAATATAATATGTTATGGATCTGAATGTCAGTTCTATTATTTGTTTGTTATGAACGCATACATTGATTTTCAATTATTCGGGATTTTATTAATTTTTGTATTATTCTGCATATTCTGAATGTTTAGATCTGGAAAACCCATTGAATTACGAGATTAGTTGGTTGTATTTCAGTGTATTTTACAGAGTAGTCATATTTGACAGAGCAGTCATGTTTAACAACTTAGTTATATTTGTCCTTTTTTTTTGTAGTACTGCATATGTTCAACATTCAACAGTGTAGTCATATTTAACACACAAGATCAAATGGAAGATTAAGTGCAGTCGGTGCAACCGAGTTGGATACCGCAACAAAAAAACATGTTCGATGGCCATTGTTGAAAGATCACATTAGTTATTTTTTGTTTTTCTAGCCATTTTTTTTTCTTGTTGCAATGTATTTTGCTATTAATATTGCAAGTGTTTGCAAGTGCTGATTACTTGTAGTCACATAACGCAGAACCTAGTCACATAATAGTCATATTCTCACTGTCCTGTTCAGTTACTATTATACAAACCGTAGTCACATAATAGTCATATTCTCGTTGTTTTTGTTAATAATCATGCTTCTACTGGCTGTTAATTATAATGTTATACAAAGCGTAGTCACATAATAGCCATATTCAACTATAGTCATATTCGAAGTTGTAAATTTGTCGAGAAAAAAATTAATTTTTTGTTTAAAAAAAAATTATTTTTAATTAGAAAAAATATTAAAAAATAAAAATAAATAAAAAATGGCTAAAAATCCGAAATTATAAAAAATTAATATATATATATATATATATATATATATATATATATATATATATATATATATATATATTTTGATTTGGTAGCAAATTTTTAGGAATTTGGAAGCATATTTCTAGAAATTAAATTATTGTTATGGAAAGAGAGAAAAAAGGAATAATTAAGACTAATTAGGCTAATTGACATAAGGGTACAATTGGAAATATAAATTATAGGGGTTTATCACAAAGAAAGATTTAAGGGGTGGACATATCACCATTTATTATCTATATGAGGGGTTTATTGCTAATGACCCCAATAAAAAATAATAATAATAATTGATACTGAATTCACATGCTTATCTATATATCCCTCTTATCGCATGTGTATGAATCCATCATAACCACTATAAAGGTTTTGAGATTTTAATTCACTATAGATCTGGATCGTCA